CTCAGTAAAAGTATCTTTGTTTTCACAAAAATCTAAATTACATCCACATAATGGTACACAGTTGACATGATTTTTTTTGCAGTTGCAAGCATTAGTTTTGCAAGTCTTTTTGCATTTGCACGGTTTCCCAACCCACCACTATCAGACATATAATATCCATATTGTGTAAAATCGAGAGTTTGATAGCGAACATATATGGCATTTCGCCAAATATATGTTTTAGCGAAAGCTCTTAACAAGTGTTGGTAAAGTGCGTCAGAGGTACTGTCACCTCGGGGTAAATAGAAAGGGTCTTGCCACCTTCTGTACCACCGTGTGCTCTGTAGAGGGGCTTCGAAAACATCGTGAGCTCCTCTACTTTTGTCCATTTTCAGGATATGGACTTCAAAATGTTTTGTTTCCTGATGGCTCGTCTTAATAAAGACGAGAGATTTCTTACATGACAAATATCTTACATGATAGTTGTCGAAATAAACATCAGGTTTGTTGTCTTCGATGTCTTGCCTTGAAAAAGGCAAGTTATTTCTTACATGACCAAATATATATAGGTCGAAATAAAACACCAAAAATACAGTAGAAATAATACTCAGCCACAGAGTCTGGAAAGCTAAAAAGGAAGCAGAGCCCCGAGAGCACTAAGCTCTCGGAGTGCCCGTGAAGGACTGACTTGATTGACCTGAAAATCGCCTAATTTTATACTTTCTGAAGTAGCGATTAGGGATTTCCAGGTCAGGGAGGGACCAACGGGAAAAATAAGGGGCGGGGCGATGCGTCTCGAACGTGAACTAGTCGCGTCCGAGAACAGTACAAGGTATATTGGCTAGATTAAATTAAATTTTTCAGTCACACTGTCTTTTCGTCGAAGAGCAGCATTTTGTATTGTTATGTAAAAATCTACTTTAGGTTTTTGCACTAACTTAATATTGTTGATGTTATTACAAAAAATACAAACTAAATTTTCTTCGGTAAGCTTTCATTTAAGAAGAGGTACGGAAAAAGACATTTTAAATCCATTCACATTTTTTTAATAACACATTAATAATATAATACCCTTTTAATGGGCATTAAATATTAGTCTTCCTAATGATCTTTAAGTAATAACAAATCAAGTATGAGCGCGTGATTGTTAAACAGGTAAAAACTTGCATTTTTGCGATAGTATAATTGTTTTTAAACACCGCGCAATTTAAAATTAAGTTTACTAATATTAATATTTACTGCATTGTATTATTTAAATAATAATTTAAAAATGTTATTGACAATTGATATAAATAAATATATACTCAATAAATAATAATTATATTGTTCAAATTTGGAAGAAAAAAAAACTATATACGGTTATTACATTGCGATGATTGATTTATTTAATTAGCCCAATGACAATAATTAATACCTACATAAATAAATTATGGAAAAAACTATATTAATAAACTTCAAGGATTTGTTCGGGTTTTTTTGCGTAAGTGTATATGTAAACTATGCATAAGTACGATAGAAGCTCACTCTAGCGCATGTAGCGCGTGTACGCGCATATTTAACAATTAAAAAACAACAGTCTAAATTAAAATAAGCCCCGATTACTCTCCAAAATCTTGAAGTTGAATGTTTAAACTTTAATTTAGACACTTGGTAACCTCAAAAATAATAATTTACATATGTGTTTTCAAGCCTCAAAAATGCGTATTTTCGCGTTTTTCAGACTTTAAATCGCTTATAACTCGAAAACTATCAACTTTAGAGAAAAATGACAAGACACCTTTTTTATTTAAAATGACCCAAAAAACCTAAAAAAACGTTTTCCAGATTAAAAAAAATATTTTTGGAATTTGTTTAAAAAAAATTGTTTAAACAATTTCTGCCCAAAAATTTCGCCCAGCACCCTTCAGATTTGTTTAAAGGGGACATTTTTAAACCGGAATCCGCGAAGAAACCGAATCAGAAACATTTTCCCAACGGGAGCGGCCTCACAGCCTGGACTAAAGTAAGTGTTAGTGGTTCCGGTAAGTAGTGCTCAGCCACAATTCTTTTTGCAAAAACTCAAGGTCGGTGTAGTCAATTACCGAAATGACGTTGGAAAACCTAAAAGCATCTCTAAGAAAAATTTTCCTCTTTCGTCAATGGCTCCTAAGAAGTTACCATTGGGAAAAAGTTAAAGGGGGATAAAGGAACTATTAATAGTCTCCTTTCAAAACACTATGGAGAAAATTGGAGAAGCTTTCCTGAACTCGATTTTTACAATAAACACTTAAAAACAGATTCTACCTCACCAGAAGAAACCGTTGATGGTTTGGAAAATTGCCAACATGCAGAAAATGACTGTATTTGATTTGATTCTTCTTCTTAACGTACCCTATCAAGCCCCCTTGACGTTGGCGATTAACATGGCGAAACTGTCTCTGTCTCGAGCTGTTCTAAATAGTTGCTCAGCTTTCTTTATTCCTGTCCACTTCCTGATATTCTTCAACCAAGAGGCCTGCTTTCTACCAATTCCTCTGCGTCCTTCGATTTTACCCATCATAATAAGTTGAAGAATATTATATCGGTCTCCCCTTACTATGTATCCAAAATGGGCCATCTTTCTACATTTGATGTTATCAAGCAGCTCGCGAGCAGCATTTGCTCTTTCAAGGACTGCCACATTTGTCAGCATAGGCGTCCATGGAATTTTTAGTATACGTCTGTGCAGCCACATCTCAAAGGCCTCCAGACAATTAATCGTGGATATTTTTAATATCCATGCTTCGACACAGTATAAGAGGACTGACCAAATGTAGCATTTAACCATGCGCTTTCGAAGTTGAAGTTGAAAGTTATCATTACAGAAGAATGACCTCATTTTTAAAAATGTAGTGCGGGCTAACTCGATTCTACATTTTTATCTCTTGATCTGGATCTAGTTGTTCAGTAATATGGTAACCAAGATATTTAAAACTGGACACTCTTTGAATTATATGACCATCAACATATAATCGTGCATCTTGATGTGCTAAACGGCTAAACACCATGTGTTTTGTTTTTGAACAGTTTACACACTTTATCAATGGCATTTAAAAGGCATTGTAATCCATTCATGTCATCACTTAAAATAACTGTATCGTCTGCATATCTGATTGTATTTATCAGAATTCCAATAACTTTCACGTCCCATTCCAAATTATGCAGCGCTTCTTTAAATATTCTATCTGAATATAAATTAAATAACAGTGGGGATAGTATACAACCCTGTCTGGCACCTCTTTGTATTTTACATATTTCTGTTGATTTTCCGTTTATGCAAGCTGTCGCTGTTTGACGCCAGTATAACTTTTCTATAAATCGTATGTCTTGACTATCAACTCCTTTATCTATTAATATTGTAAATAATTTGTTATGCTGTACTCGATCAAAGGCCTTTTCATAGTCAATAAATACAGCAAAGACGTCTTTCCTTTGATCTCGACATTTCTGCAGTAATACATTTAGTGCAAAGAGGGCGTCCCGAGTTCCCAGTCCATTTCTGAAGCCAAATTGTGTTTCATCCTGATCTTCTTCACATTTATCTCCGATTCTACTGTGGATGATGCGTAGAAATATTTTCAAAGTGTGGCTCATAAGGGTTATCATTCTTTTGATTTGATTACCTAGATTTTTTTTTGTTTCAACATTTTCTTTGTAGATTGTAGAAGTAAATACGGTTTGTTATTGCAAAACTGGTTGTTTGCAATATACATTATTTTTTTTTGTTTAACTCTGTAAACATTTTAGGCTAGAAACTTCTAATTTCTATTGCTAAAAACTCTAAGCAAAATTAATAAAAAAATTTACGTTGTAATCTAAACACTATTCGGCCGTTAATCGTTTTTTTTCGATTTCCCAACAAAATACTTTCGAGCAAAGAGCAAGTTTTGCAAATAATGGCCTCATATAACCATAACATCTGTTATTAAAAATACAAAAAAATGTCGCATTAGATCCTGGATTTTAGCAACTAATTGAAAGTTTAAAAGCCGAATATCTGCTAACGCTCATTTTGCACATTCGTGGGTGTGGCATTGCACCTAATATATTCAACCTGTTTCCCGCGACATACATGTGCGCTATCCGTTACTGGTGCAAGTACCTTTATGGTGGCATACATGTGAGTCATGCAAAACTTTTTCGTTGTTTTACTATAATTATGATAAATAATCTATAATATAAAAATAAAAAGCAAACTGTTTTGGTAAGCGCATAATTCAATAACGCATGGAATAATCTTATTAATTTTTTTTTTGAAATGTTCCTTGAAGTCTAAGGATGGTGTTTGTGGCATAAAAAATTCCAATAATTTCCAGAAACCCCTAAAACAGCTCTTTTCTTTTTCCCATACAAATATTTTCTAACTAAATGTAGAGTCAATTTGAACTTTATTGCTATTCAATAACGTTTATATTTAATTACAAGCATTCACTGTTGTCTAAACAATCCATGAGCCATGCAAAACTTTTTCCTTGTTTTACTACAATTATGATAAATGTTATATAACATAAAAATGAATCCCAAAATGTGTTGGTAAGCTCATAACACAATGACGCATAGATCAATCTTAACAATTCTTTTTTTAAAATGTACCTTGAAGTCTAAGGATGATTTGTACGGCATGAAAAATTTGAATAATTTAGGGAAAATCCCAAAACAGTTCTTTTGTTTTTCCCATACAAATATTTTCTAACTAAATGTCCATTTTGAACTTTATTCCTCTTTAATAAAGTTTATATCAAATTACAAGAACTCACTGTTGTCTAAACAATATAGGTGTGTTCCTAACGTCGAAGATTCAATTTGCGCTTTATTGTCACTGCAAAACATTTCACAGTTCAAAATTTAAGGACAGATTACAGGCGAATTGAAGATATATAAATCAGTTGATTCATTTACTAACTAAGATTATGTAGTCAAATATCCACCTGAATTTTTAAACTCACTAGATTCACCAGGATTGCCACCTCAATCTTCAATTAAAGGTTGGATCGGTAGTCATAATGTTGAGAAATATCAACAAACCGCGTCTTTGCAACGGCACAAGGTTAGCGATAAAAACATTATTGAACAAGGTGATAGAAGCAACTATACTGAAAGGAAAGTATAAAGGAGAAGAAGTTTTCATACCACGCATCCCAATGATTCCGACTGATATACTATTTGAATTTAAACGACTACAGTTTTCAGTGCGGCTTGCTTTTGCTATGGCCATAAATAGGTCACGGAGGCAATCATTAGGTGTTTGTGGTATTAATCTAGAAAACCCATGTTTTTCACATGGTCAATTTTATGTTGCCTGTTCCCGTGTTGGAAAACCATCAGATTTGTTTGTATATTCACCAGGTAATCAAACAAAAAATATTGTATATCGTAAAGTACTATAATAAAAATAAAACAGATTTTTGTTAATAATTATGATTCACTTGCTTTACAATAAAGATATTTCTGAAAATACGTATATAAGTTTTATTTTATTATTTTTTATTACATCGGTTATTTATATATACATAGGTTTAGAACGTCGTCCGATACCTAAACACCATCTCTTCCTATCTTCGCAGTCATCTGTTATTAAATTTTTTTCACTCATGGACTTGTTTACGCTGTGTTGTCATTCCAATCTGGGTCTTTCTCCTTTTTTGGGGAGTCTTGTTGCTGGAATCCGTTGAACATGCCCATACCACCTTAATTGTTTCTTCTCTATATCTTGAGTTATATTTCCTTCTATTCCCATACGTTGTTTTATTACATCATTTCTGATTCGTTTTCGTCTGGAAATACCTAAAGATCTTCTCATTGCATCGATTTCTACTGCTTCTATTCGCTGTTTGTTCTTTTTACCCATTCTCCATATTTCAGCGCCATAAAGAAGAGTAGTTTTAATCATGGTCTCATATATGTTAAATTTTCTTCCTTTCGTTATCTCTTTATTCCACATTATACCATTATGACATCCTAAGACTTTCTCTGCTTGAGTGATTCGTTTTTCCATCCGTGTCTATTCGTTCTTTCCGTGTATCAGTTCCTGTATTGTCAAAGGCAACACCCAAGTAGTCATAGCCCTGACAGCAGGAAATATGTTGTCCGTTTCGAGGTCTATGTTATCTGACTCGTTTTCAATACAAAGATATTTGGTTTTTGTTGTATTGACATTCATTCTCCAGTCAATATATTCTTCTATCAGTTTTCTAAACATGTACTGCATGTCTTCCCTGTCGGTCGCTAGTACTACCTGGTCGTCAGCAAACTGGAGTGTATATATACATCCATTGCTAAGCTCTATACCCATCCTATGCACCTTTCTTTTCCATCTTTCCAATACTGCTGCAACATATATCTTGAATAAGGTTGGTGAGATACAGCATCCCTGTCGCAAGCCTTTTGTAACCAGAAATTCTTCCGTTGATATTTTCCTGTTTTTATCTGTGCCTTTGAGTCTCTATATAGTTCTTGTACAGCATTTATCAATGTGTGGTTGATGTTAGATCTTTTCAACGTTATACACAATTTTGTTAAGGGGATGTTGTCATATGGTTTTTGTAGGTCTACAAAAGTAATATGAGTTTCTAGATTCTTAGCCGATCTTTTTGCTATTATTTGTTTAAGAAAAAATATGTTATCTGTGCACGATCTTCCTGCACGGAACCCGTTTTGTTCTTCCTCTTCATTGTGCTTGTATTCGTCCTCGATCATATTTCTCAAAACTCGCCCATACAGTCTGTTCAGGGTGCTGGTTACCGATATGTCTCTATAATTATTACAATTCCTTTTGTCCCCCTTTTTGTGTATTGAGGACATGTATGCCGTTCTTCATTGTTTTGGTACTGGGTTTCCATTTAGACACTGATTGATCACATAAGTTAAGTTTTCAAATAGTTTATCAGTTCCATTCTTAAGCATTTCAGCATAGATTCCCTTAGGTTCAGCGGATTTACCATTCTTTAGGGTCATTACTGCCTTACTTACTGTTTCAATGTCTACCCTCGCTTCCTCTCCTTGTATATGTACTGACTATGTTGGAGAGTTCGCTAGGTATTCTTGTCTTGTCTCTGTCAGCAGGCTTTCATAGTGATCTTTCCATTGTCTTGGTTTTGTGGTGTGTATGTGTGCTTTGTCTTTTCCTGTATTTTTTACTGATTGTATAAAATTCCATACCTCTGTACATAGCTTCCCTCCGATGTATGTATTGATTTCTTGACATTTCTGATCCCATGTTTTATTCTTTTCTTGTTTTATCATTTTTCGTAGTTGTCTATCGGTTTCTTTGTAAGCTTGATGGTCTTCAGTATTTTTTGTATTTAGCCATTTTAGATGCTGTTTTTTTTCTGTTTTACCATATATTCGATTTCTTCGTTCCACCATATTTTGTTACTAATTTTGTTTTGCTGTGTCCCGAGTGTCTCCTTAGAGGCCTGGTGTAAACTAGCAATAATATTCTCGTAAATATCTGAAAATGTTTGTCTCTCTATTTTTCGTAGTTTTTCATCCAGTCGTCGTTAGTATAGCTGTTTAGTACTATCATTTATAAAACTATTGAAATTGTTTTGAAGCTATTTTCTTGTGGTATTGTAAATTAATTACTATTTATAACTGGGAATAAGCCACAATTAAAGATAAAAATACGTTTATTGACGTTTCAATTTCCAATTCGGAAATCGTTCTCAAAATACAAATAGTAAATTAAACAAATTTTGTTTTTTTGTTACATAGTGAAAAAATTCTTCTAATAATTTAATTTTATCTGACTCATTTATATTGACAATTCAGACATACATTATGCATTTTAAAGTGGACGACTTTAAAATGATATTGCCAATATTATTGAGTTGCGCTCCTGGGACGACTTTACTTATAAGATAGTTCATTCGATTACATGAAATCAACTTTAACTTGAGAATATCCGTCAGAAAAAATCATAGCATGTAATTCGTCTTTAAAAAGACAAACACATGACATGATGACAGTAAAATTCTCCTGTTAGTGATTCCATAGTAAATTATGAGGGAAAAACCAGGAAAAAAACCTCACAATACTATCCCGACATTGTAAGTATTTGTTCGTGAATTTAGTTTACCTTCAACAAACATCAAAATTCTGATTTTATATGTTTTATATGTCCACTTTAAAATGCATAATGTATGTCTGAATTGTCAATATAAATGAGTCAGATAAAATTAAATTATTAGAAGAATTTTTTCACTATGTAACAAAAAAACAAAATTTGTTTAATTTACTATTTGTATTTTGAGAACGATTTCCGAATTGGAAATTGAAACGTCAATAAACGTATTTTTATCTTTAATTGTGGCTTATTCCCAGTTATAAATAGTAATTAAAAAACTATTGAAGTTGTACTTCGGAGTGTCTACTGTCTGCAAGTCTTGCTTGTCTTCTAGGTTTTGGTCTCCGTGTATTATCTTAAGTGGAAACAAAATTTTCGCTCTTACTAAATAGTGATCGGATCCACATGTTATTTCTCGGAGAACTCTTACATCATTTCACTACAATACAGATTTTTGTTTACTAATAATATAATCAATGACTGATTTTAGATTGCATATTTGTTGAATCCTTTGAACATCGGTTATTTACCTTATGTTAATAATAATAATAAATAATTAATTATCTCTATGTATTGTCATTAAATCACCCACTTTATAAATATGTGTCACCTTAAGGTTTACACTATCCCATTGGATTATTTTCAATCAGGTTTAAACCTTAAGTTTCCCTCTTAGTTTTAAGCCCTCTGGCAGACATCCCAGTCGGGGTTTTTAGTGGGTCCAAAAGAGTGGCCAAAGTTCGTCGAGGCTAACACACTTGGGTCACCCGGGCTAACCCTCACACACCGCCCTATCAACATGGTGACGGTTCTGTTCAGGAGAATTAAAGAAATAAACTGCCACATTCCAAATTTATTTGACAGAACGAAATCTGTCGAGTTCTCTAGTTAGTAATAAACATTCATTAATTATTCTGTAGCAGTTTTATTAATAAAAAAGTTTAATTTCAGAGTATGTGTCTTAGAAGCAGACATCCATAGTTAACGTGAACTTTCTAATTATACCATTATTGAGATAGCATGTATATATTTTCTTTTCCTTTCTTGTAGCCGGTTCTGTCTTCTGAAAACTAATAATTTCTTTTTATTGTTGAATCATAAGTATTTATTATGTCTGTAAGATTGTATAAGCTATCAAAGGTAATCCTTTATCTTTAGAAATTACTAAATCTGCTATAAATAGTAAATGAAGCGAAGCCTCTCGGCGCCCGAACGTTTTCGCAGCAAAACATTATAATTTTTTGTCGTCTACACTAAAGCTTCCCAATCCTAATATTGATTTCTTTAAGTTTATGGGACTTATAACGGTACATGCAAGACGTCGACAGGATTTTTGCAGTGTAAAAATGTCTCGCCTATTATGATTGATCATCCATTTCCTATCGATAAGGCTGTTATAGCCAAGGGATAGCAGATAATGTGGTGTAATTTCCTCTTTTCCTATCAACTTTCGCTGAGGATATGTGGATGCCGATATTTTTTATAGAAGGGATGGCAAATTTTTCTAGAACACGGATTATTAAAACTATTTAGGTTATACACTGATCGGGAGAAAAACTAAATATTTCTAAAGTTCTCATACAGATATAGTACCTACAAAGTAATTATCAGTGTATCTTACTACAGTTTAATGAAGTCGTAATGCCACCACAATGTAAATAACATAAAATACATTTAAGTATTTTACAATTCTATAAATAATTGCGAGAAACACAATGCGAAAAGATGCCCAGAATATCGATTAATTAGCCTAATAAGCGACAGTCTTAAAATTTTCCTCAGAATACTTCACAATTGAAGTAGACGCAAATGCGAAGTAGATCTTGAAGATACCTAATGTGGTTTTAGAAATACTATGAGAACCAGGGAGGCACTTTTTGCGCTTAACTTCCTATTACAAAAATGCCGTGGCCAAAGAAAAGATGTATTTGCATGTTTCGTGGACTTCGAAAAGGCATTCGATAAAGTAAAGCATGTAAAATTAATGCAAATAATGAAAAACATCGGAATAGATGACAAGGGTACTCGTGTCATTAAAAATTTGTACTGGAATCAAACTGCTATAGTAAAAATTGAAGATAACTATACCGATGAAATCCCCATACAATGAGGAGTTAGAGAAGGTTGCATTTTGTCGCCAACATTGTCCAATGTTTACTTGGACCAGTTATTTAAAAAGGCATTTGAGAGACAACCATATGGAATAAAAATCAACGGGGAACTACTTAATGTGATTAGATATGCAGACGATACAGTAATTGTATCAGATAATATTGAAG